AAATACCTAAAAAGAGGAAGGGGGGGGAAAAAAAAGGTTAAAAAAAACGAGCATTTTCCTTATTTTTCAAGGTGTATTTTTGTAAATTCTTTTGTCAAAATTATATGTTGAGCAAGAGAAAATATGCATTTAAAGTGCAATTTGATGGTAAAATTTATGTATGAAAATTAAGAATATGCTGTCTAAATAACCCTTAAATAAATAACCCATAATAGGGTCACTCAAATAAATGTTTGGGTCACACCTAGACTCCTAGTGTATATGGGCTTAAGCTTTTGGGAAGAGAAACGGTTAAATGGATGTTTAAAAAAAAAAAAAAAAAAAAAAAAAAAAAAAAAAAAACTGATACGTCATTCATCCTTTAATTTTTCATGTATGCGTTTAGCTTAAATTTGCAACATTCTAGCTCTTCTCTTTTCAATTTGCCAAACAAGAAATTGTGTGCTACCGCTTGAAGTCGGCACGCACACAAGCTGCTTTTTCTAGGGAGTGTCGTACTAATCTTTCTCCACACCCAAGAAAATTGAACTCATTGTTCTAAGTTTTTCTTTTATTTTTGTTAATATCCTATTAATTAATATAGTTCTTTAATTGAAGTGTACGAGGTAAAAATACAAAATTCATGTATTCTAAAAGATTTTTGTCTCTTTTTTTTTTCTCATCCAGCTTGAAACGTATTCCAAAAGCATTTCAAGTATAGAAAGAAAGATTTAAGAAAGTAAAAATTAAAAAGAATGAAGTTTACTAATTATAACTAAACGTTTGGTATTCCTTTATGTCTTATTTATGTAATAGGGAAGACATGCTAGCGATAATGATCTGTCGTTCGGGAAAATTGTATTTTATATATATTTACGAAATAAAGTCAATTAATTTATAATTAATGAAGTAAAAGATACAGATCGAAAAAGGAACAAGATGATATCAGAAGTAGACATGGAAAATATATATACTATAATTTCGCTAAAACAATATAGTTACAAGGAAACCTTAATTAAATGGAACATTTCTCATGTGGTTGACAACAACAAAAAAAAAAAAAAAAAATCACCAAAATGAGAAACCCCAGTTGTACCTATATATGCTAGAAAGAACACGCTTCACAACTCCACTTTGCGCACATAAAAATAGAACTAGTTAGGAAGAAAAGAATGACACAGAAAAAATTACTAAACTTACTTTTAAAGTGCATAAGTCTATATTTTTAACTCTTATTCTTAATTAATATAACATTTAATTAAAAAGATATTAATTAAGAATAAAGAGTAAAAATCAAAACTCATGCAATTTAAGAAATATTTGTCTCATTTTTTCTAAGAATATAAGAAGAAACTAAACAAACTAGTATGTTCAAGAATTAAGCGTATCAAACCCCGGCATATCCGCCGTCACAAGTGCAGCTACTGTTGCCGGTGCTGGCATCGCCGTTCTGTTGAGGTTTGGTGCTGAGGCAGCAACACATGAGACCAAGCAATAACATAATTCCCCATGCAGAGGCTATGGCCTGTGCCCAATTCAGGTCTTGTCCCATTAATTAATTTATAAAATGGGACAATTCTTCCCTTCTTCCGATATTGATGATCAAACCTTCTAATTCTGCGAGTACTTCTCATCGTTCACACCAGTTCAGTGCTCGCCATCTTCATGGAATAACGTTATCTTTAGATTGAAAAATGTCTGAGTGATGAACATGAGATGATGAGTCTGAAAAAGGCCGAGAAAATAACATGGTCCAGCTCATGTGAATTTATGTGCTATGTTGCCGGAGAAAGTACCAACTTTTTTCTTTTTCTTTTTCTTTTTAAATAAAAAAAGCAAATGCCAACTTTAGTCTTTTAAAACCACATAATGCTGCTAGCTGTTGTTTTAGTTTTTAAGAATTGGAGTTTTGATGCATGCAATAAATTAAGGAATGGATTTGGTATATGTGGTTTGGTGAAATTGTCTTTTTGTCTTTTTTTTTTTTTTTTTTTTTTTTTTTTTTTTTTTTTTTTTTTTTTTTTTTTTTTGTTTGTGTGGGGGGGGGGGGGGGGGGTTGTTGCTATGGTATATGGTCATCAAGTAGTTTAGAATAATGCAATTCGTGTTATTAGTTTGGTTTTAAAATGTCTTTTCAACCAATCTTGTGCTTTACTATTGCCTTTTTTTTTTTTTTTGGGGTAAAGATCAAACCAGACTAGCATCAATCCCCTATTAGTTGGCTGCCTTTAATTCAGTTGATCTTAATACAGAACGTGACCCCACACCCGGTTATACTTGAGCTTTTGCAATATTTTATGTCCAAAAGGAATGTAAAAGGATACAATCACAAAAGTTGTATAGCAGTTCTATTCCCTATTGCACGTTTCGGAACCTCAAACGGCTCAACGTAATCAAAATCTTTATATAAATGAAAAAAAGCTGCACACATATCTTCAAGAGAAATATGGTTAACATCACTCTTTTTATTACTTTTAAGAATACTAGACAATAATAACATAAAACATTATTATTTAAATAAAAAATGAGATAATAGTTCACGTGTCAAATAATAAATATAAAAAGTGATAAAGATAGTGACATAAAGAGTGATGTTAGCATTTCTCTACATTTAAATATGTGTGTGAAGATCTTGCCTAATACGAATTAATCTAATGGGCTTTTTACACATACAACAAAATTAGAAAAATGAGATAAATATCCCTTAAAATACATGAGTCTGGATATTTACTTCTTACTCTTGATTAATATCATTTTTAGTCAAATAATTATATTAGTCAAAAGAATATTAATTAAGAGTAATGGATAAAAATCTAAACACATGCACTATAAGAGTAAGTTCAACAATTTTCTTAGCAAAATTTAATAGTCAATGTTGAAATGTAAAAAAAAAGTTTCAAAATATTTTAAGAATAGAAAAAATTAATATCATTAAAATAATTAAGATATAATTATATAGTATATAATGTCATATTTTTATGATAATTATTACGTAATTTTTATTACTTTATTATATTTTGAAAATTTACTTATTTGTATGATTTTTTGCCATACAGTATATAGCAAAACATTAAACATAATTGAAGTCTTTGTTTCATTAGTATATTTATTTGAAAATTATTAAAATTCTTTACTTAACTTTTTTAGTTAAATCATAGCTAAAATAACGTTTAATATAGATTTGGAAGAATGATCTTGGTTTTTTTTTAAAATTTAATTGCTTTAAGAGTATTTTGAATTTGATTTTATTAACACATAGGTGTTTAGGGTATTTGTATAATAACAAAAGCAAAAGTGGCATTTATACAAAATATATAGTATTTTCTAATTGAAAATTGAGTTTTATTATTTTAATAAATTTAGAAAATAACAGCAGAAGCTCCAGTGTAAAATAAATCCATGATATGCTTCTCACTCATGTTGTTAGGTAGCAGTTTTTAAAAATTGTTAAGATAAAATCAAGATTTATCAAACACTCTGACTTACTGTAACTTCTAAAATAAATAGATAAACGTAAAACAGCCTCTAAAATCAAGAGGTATTTATACAAGATGACACTTTTATACTTCATGTTTAGAATATATCTTTAATTTAATAATATTATTAATCTGTCTATTTTATGGTTATTAAGATAATATTATGTCAAATATACCCTTTTGTGTGTGAGTAGTTATAGGTGGTTAACAGAGAATAATAATGTCATTACGGATTATTTTATCGACTTATGTGCAAATATCACAATTTGTGGACATTTATTTGTCATCTCCTGCATAATGGATATGTATGTAATTAACTCGCCGGGTAGGCCCTTTATCTTATGCGATGCTATATGATTAATATTGATCGTTGTAATTGATTAGTAGTAAGTGCATATTTTGTATGCATATAGCTTTTCATAGGCAAATTATGTTGAAGAATGAAGATTTATGAATCTTTAGTTTTTGGTTTTGGTAAAATAATCGTAATTTCTATTATTTTTTTTTTTTTAAGTTTAAGGTTGACGTTGAGGGTAGGAATTTTTTTACAAAAATTATATCTTTAATTGGTTATTGGTAGGAAGGGTAATGTTAGAAATATTTTTTTTCCCTCATTAATCTTGCTATATCATCAATTAACTCTCTCCTAAAAGAAAAAGGCTACTTTGAAGTTGAAGGATTACTTGACACAAGGGTAGAAAGTTTAGTTATCCGAAATTTTATATATATATATATATATATATATATATATATCTTTTTGCCTGTATGAAAGCAATCTGAAGAAAAGGAGGATGAAGAGTAGAAATGAAGAGTACATGGAGAGGACCAAAAGACTCTTTTATACTTTCCCACTGTCATCATCGGATGCCAACATAAGATTCAAACATAAGTAGCCAAATCATTCTCTACCACACAGTAAGAAAGCACAAGAAAGAAAAATAATTAGGACACCTTCGGTGCTTAGCAATACAACTAACAACAGATGGATTCTATATAGGGTCTATAATGTGAGACCCATCTTATATTAGTGTATGGTATTTAATACCACTGAACCCGTAAGGGTCCATTAAATGTGACTGATCCTGAGAGCTTTTTACTGTAATAAAACTTAAATTTTAAACTCGAATTAGTGAAATGAACGAGTTTTAAACTCAAATTAGTCAAATAAACAGGACCTAACATTGTCCCGTAAGAAAAGACCACAGCACGCCACAAGGACAAATAAATATCACGCCTTAGGTGGCGTGGGGATGGATATACTTTGAAGCTCAAAAAATCAATACAACGTTGTGGGCATTCAAGAGAGTGATGAATTAACAAGAAACAACTAGATGAGAGGTTTCTGTTGTCCAAATCTCATGTGTTGGTTAAGCAAAATATTTTAAACAAGTGCCATGTTGCAATGAAACCTCTTTAAAATTGTTATTCCTCTAATTTGTCGAGTGCCAGTGTCAATTATGCAAAGATTGTGGAAATCACTACTTTTATGCAAATACCTCGCACGGTTGCACTAGTTGGAACTTAACTACGAGCCTCAAATCCCAATTAAAAGCGACAACAGAAAATTCTATAACCACCGAAAATGGTACAAAGAGCACATTCTAAAATTTGTTAGCAACTATTGCTTATAGAAATTCTCCCAAATTTCTAATGAATATGGAAGATAAATAGTAAACAATTTGCTTTACAGAACAAAAAAGGGTTCATTACAATTTACAACCCTTCCGGGATCCACAAAGCTAAGCAATGTTGACCTGAATACGACATTATTACGCAGAAGAAGCAACAGCAGTAGTCTAGCCCAAACTCAGATTAACTTGTATGAGCCACAACGATCACTTAATCCCTACAGGACAAAGTATAATCAGAAATCGTGAAAAAAAGATGCCAGGAGCCCATTCAACGTCCAAAGAGCAAAGTAGCAAAAGATTAGTTTGGAGCAATATTATATGTATTAAAACATTCTAAAGTAGAATAAATTTAATTCTATTGTAAGTATATTATGCTTAAGCAATTTTACACAGAATATTCATGTCCACATGCATAAAGTTGAAAAAATCGACAAACATGCATCAAATTTCTTAGCGGAGAAGTCAATCAATTTAGCCTAGCTACTCAAGGAAAATGGATATTAAAGAGTATTCAGTCTGAAGTTCCGATCATTGTCTGTCTTGTACTTTTAATCAAATTTTCAGACATGGACAGAAGTTTTGAAAACAGAAGAGCTCTCAAATACATTCAATTCCCAATTTTTTTTATCTCAATTTCCTCTAGATTAAACCAACTGGAATTTGTGTAATAGTTCATTTGATATTTTATAACCTCCTGCCTCATAGATTTGATCGAATTTTTATTCATGATCTGTCATTGAAAACAGAAGAGCCTTAAACTACTTTTCTTTCAAATCTTGTTAATTCAATTTTACCTAGATTGGCCTATCTGGAACTGGTGCATGATAGCACACATAATATTTCATCGGTTACCTCCCCTGAATTGAAAATTACACCAATCACATAAATGATCAATTGAAATATAAATACCACTAGTACCACACTAAAAAGATATACATAAGCTTTCTTTTTCCCTTATTTTCTTGATGAGCACAACTAACACTACACAACAGTACGAGTTCTATTCAAATGACGCAGTAGATAAAACAAAAGGTATGTCATCATAAAGACAGTTCTCATTACATAAAGCCGCAAAGAAAAAAGATTAACTGATAATAAACTATCAAAAATTCCAGCTGATGCACAAGTGGAGGCTATTTTTAGATTGTTAGTTCGGTGAAAACAGATAGCTGAAGCCTGAAAACCTGAAAAGCATAAAAGTAAGTTGAAGATACGTAAAATAGATCAAGGCTGGTCTTACTCACTTTGTAGAAACTCTAGGTAAGCTACAGATCACTGTAATTGCGCCATACTGCACGGAATTCCTCTCGAAATGTATTCAGACGAGCTTTCAAGTTTGGTGTTCTGACGCTTGCGTGCAGTATGGTAGCTGAGAAGGAAGGAAGGGACAGCGAGAGATAAGACAAATCAATTAATGAAAAACATACAAAAGAAAATGCACGAGTGTTTAAGCAAGTCACATACCAAGAAGTCCAATAGCCAATGCCCATAGAACAGTCAACAGACCAGCAGAAACAAACCATAGAATGAAACTCACTGCAACAAAAGAAAAACATTTGCTTAGTAAACAACAAAAATGTAAGTCACATACGAGCTTTAATTAAATATGGATTAAAAAAAACTAGTGGAAAGATGAAAGATTTTCCAAGCACTAAATACCAGATGAGACTATCAAAACAAACACCCAGCGAGGGCGACCACATATGTATATTGATCTTTTAGCTGATGGACGTCCACGAATAACAGGCCTGACAAAAACATAAAATAATTAGAAAAGAACTAACAATCAATGTAAAGCAAGCACGACAATAAAGACTCACGTAAGAGGAGGCCTCATCTTTGCAGCTAAATGTGGTGAGAACTGCCTCACAGTTCTTGTTACCTTCTCATTAAAAGTACCTGCAAAGCTGTAGAAATAATCCTAAGTAACAATAGGTTGGTTACAGATAAATTATTGAATAGGTAAGGTAGCCATTATCTACAACTGTGTGGTTAAAATTGCAGTTTGGCACCCAAAACTTCACAAGGAAAAAAAAAATCTGAAAATATAGAACCGTACACCAGATTGGTTACAGATAAAATAATGGAGTTGGGCATTATCTAATCATGGATGCTATTGCCTAAAGTGAACATGAAATCCTTCAATTGTGTGGTAAAAATTCCAATTTCATTCAGAATTTCACAATAAAACTAAGGTGATTAATCAGAAAGTCAAATTAAACGGACCAAGACACCCTGTGTTACAAAAAAAAAAAAAAGGACAACACTTCGGAATATTCAAAAAGCCCAGCGGAGTAAGGTGGCTTACCTGTCATTCAGAAAAGCAATACTAAGAGCCGTCAGGAAAGCGGCCAAAAGAGCCAGCGGCCTCCAAAGAAATCCCAACCCTGCGATTGAATGTGTAAATTTAAAACACAAATCCACACATGAAAAGGGAATATATTTATAACTAGATCTGTTTTTCTCAACTCACCAAGAATGAAAATGATCATGATGAAGTAGTTCGTCCGGTAACTGCATACACATGTAAAACCCACTCATATGTGAAATTAGGAATACAAAGTCCTCACAATCTACTTTTACTCGATAAGAAAATATAACAACAAAACTGATGACTAAAACAGAAACTAAAATCTTTGGATGTTATTTTCTCCGGTGCGTTTAGTACTTTGTTGATTTCTGTGTTAATTTCATGTATCCATCACTTCGGAGCTAAAGAAACTAAAGAAAAAAAAACATCTTAAAAAAAAAAAAAGCAGTTTCAATTTCTCGATTGCGAACTTGGAACAACTGAGTAGCAAGAGGCGAAAACCTAAAGAAACGCGCATTCTCGTTACATTTAAATCACAAGATATCACGTTATTTAAGTGGTAAAAAACTAGGGTTTATAGAACCTTATTTCTTCCGAATTTCAAGAGTTTTCGTAGAAATTGGCAATCAAAAAAGGAACAAAATTGAACTAATTCGATTCACACGAAATTAGCAAGAAACGATGCGAAAACAAATCGACAAAAAGCAAACGAAACGGAATGGAATTCAGGGAAAGATTGGAAGATCGAATCGTACTAGTAGATATTGCATTTGAGGCGGCTATTCCATTTGGAGTAGGATCTGGGAAAGGTGAATCTGGAGAAGAATTCGGAGAGGGGACGCGGCGGCGACGACCAGTCGACCTCGCGGAGGGCATCGATCAGATCCTCCGCCGTCACGTTGCTCCAATCCATGGCGGTGGCTCTTGTTGTTGTTGTTGTCGTCTCGGAGCTTCGAGAAGGTTCTAGAAACGAATCGCGGATGTGCGGAGGGAAGCAAGAGCACGAACAAAGAAAGAAAGGGCTTGGCAAAAAGGGAAAAGAATTCTTTTTTTTTTTTTTTGCTAAATCAGGGAAAAGAATTTACTTGTGGAGGGAGAGATGTTTTGGTATCTTTTTGTTGTGTGTTTCTCTGCAAATTTGAGAAATGGAATTGGGAAGGAAATGATCAGGGTGGGTTTACTTAGGGAAGAGAGAGGACTTGACAAGTCGTTAGAGGAAAAGGACAATAATTTCTACGGGGAAAAAATTATGATTAAGTTACGGATGATAATTTGTGTCACGTGTCGTGTTTTAATTATTTTTTTTATTTACAGTTAACCTAAATATAATCCGTGACACGAAATTTTTTAAAAATCACAATACAAATACGACACGACTACTTTACGGGTTGACACAACACGACACGAAAATGACCTATGACACGAAATTGACCCGTGAACCCGAAATTGACATGAAAATTGTATACTTTTATTTAATTTTTTACATATTAGAAATAACTTAAAATTCATAACACATTAAAATATAACAACATCCATTGAAATTAAGCAAACAATAGTATAAGATTTTGAGTATAACTATCATGATATCATAAGTTCATAATAAAATTAAGAATATGTAATGAAAAATATATGTATTTTTTAATTTTTTTAGAGTTTCGTGTCATGTTCGGGTTAGGCAGGTCCAACCCGAAATTGACCTGTGTTTTTCGTGTCAATTTCATAGCGACTCAATTCTAACCCGAATATTTTTTTTCTCAACCTTAACTCACGAAATTCGTATCGTTTTCGAGTCGTGTTTGGGTTGACATTTTTGACACGTTTAATAAACAGATCGTGTTTTAATTGATATTTTCTTACACGATTAATAAACGGGTTGACATAAACACAACCCACTAACACAAATTGTCACCCCTAACTAATATAATCAAAAGTTTAAGATATGAGATTTGCACATAAAAGACAAAAATTGTCATTTTTCAAATCATGTTACGTGTAAAATCTCATGTCTTGAACTATCAATAGATAATGCTATTAGCCATTAGACTTTAATTGATACTGATCTTTTAAGTTTAAGGTGAATTTTGTTGAAATTAAAAGTTTTGAGTTCATTCTATAAAAAAAAAAAAAACAAATAGTTTTAAGATGCATTAGTGCAATTTACTCGTGTATAAAATTTAAATACATTTTGATTTGCAATGAAGTGTTGTAGTTCTTTTTTATTTTTTAAGACTCTGTTTAGTAGAATGGATGGAGAGTAGAAAGGATAGAGAGAGTTAGAAGGATGGAGAGTAAGAAGGATGTTGAGAATTATAATAATCCTTCATGTTGTTTGGTATGAGTGAGGGAGAGTTGAAAGTATAGGTGATAGTTATTTGTTTAATTACTATATTGTCTATTTTATTTATTTGGTAATAATTTTTTTTAAGGGTAAAATAGACTTTTAATTTTAAAATTGGATGGATTGGTAGGATTAAATCCAAATTAGTGGGCTCGGAGGAGACTCTCTCTCCATACCTCTTCTCCCTCCTCTCATCCATCTAATCAAACAAAGAAATTGTTCTCTTCCTCACCTCTCTCCCTCCCTCCATCTCTCCCTCCTACTAAACACACTCGATGCAACATTTGTTTTCATATATGCATACACAGAAGGAGACTTATGTGGCGTTCATTTCACTAATTCGAGTTTAAAATTATGCATACACAGAGAGAGACTTATGTGGCGTTCATTTCACCAATTCGAGTTTAAAATTTGAGTTTTATTATAATAAAAAACTATCAGAAACAGTCACATCTAATTTTTTTATTACAGTAAAAAACTCACATAAAGTCACATATTAACTCAAATTAAAAACTCGAGTCAGCGAACTAAACATACCGTTAAGAGAGAGGCTTATGCAAACTCATTTATATAAAATCTCACTTATGTTTATTAATAAAAAGAAATGACTACATAAAAAAAAGGAATTTAAAATCTTGTCATAATATAAGAAAGTGAGAAAGACAAAAATAAACGGCCCTATACAAAAGGTAAATGCAATCAACAACCTGAATGGAAAAGAAGATATATTCTCTTGATCAAAAACTTAAGAAAGATCTAGTTAAAATTATTTGCCAATAAAACTGCGAAGGGAGAACCTGATAGATGGAAAATTAATGTATGATCCATTATGATTTTATTTATACAACTTGAAATACTTACTTTCGATTATAAAGAGTATAGTTTGTATTCTTTTTGAGATCGATAGTCAAAACCTTTCGTCTATTAATAAGTTCTGAATGAGACTTTTCTCTCCATTTCTTTTTGAGTAATTGTGAAGTAGTCAATTTTCGTCAAATTATCAGGTTTGTGCAGTTTCTTTTACTCAGTTTTCATTATTTTTGCACCAACCAATCAACACAAGACTTATTAAAAAACAAGAGATGATTCCTAATGAGAACTTAAGCCCCGTTTATTTCACCGATTTGAGTTTAGAATTTGAGTTTTGTTACAGTAAAAAACTCTTAGAAACAGTCATATCTAACTTTTTTACTATAGTAAATAGTTCTCAGATAAAATCACATCTCAATTTAAATTAACGAACTAAATGAGCCCTTAGACTTTCTCCTTGAATATCGATGCAAAGAGAGATCGGAGGCAATTTAGCACGTTAACAAATCCTCATTGTTCACTTTCGATGTCGTATTATCAATTAAACTCAGCGTGGAGTTATGATAAGAAGAATCTGAACCTGAATTGGCAATACTTTTGTTACTAATATATATATATATATATATATATATATATATATGTACATGTACATGCATCATGAAGAACTTCTTATCTCCTTTGAGTTATCCGGTTTCATGATTTGCCATAAAAGTAATGACATTACCTGCTACAAAATTCATTTCATTTCTATTTTTCAACAATGTTCTTGTTAAACATTTTCCTCTGTAGCAATATCCATTTTGTCTGCATTATTTTCCTTTTCACCAACGCCTTCTTGAACTTCCAAATGCTTATAAGCATTATTAGAAACTTGATTTCTAACATGATACGCAATATATTCATTGTTATTTAAAATCCGAATTTCAACGCTTTTTTCCACATTCAAATTGACAACATTCTTACTATTATTGTCATAATATTGAGCGAAAGTTAAGTACTTATTATTATTATTATTATTATTATTGTTAATATTTTGCTAAATAGTTACTTATTAGTTATTAGATGTGATGATCTTCGCTTTTGGCTTGTACACTTAACTCATGCAATAGCTTTTTCCACTTTACCAATACTACGAAAACATCATTTCTAAAATGCAAGTCCCTAATTTCTTAAAATCCTCATTGTGATTATCATTCTATTTGGATAAATAATAGTTTATTTGGATAAATAAAATATGTGTAAACATGGCAAGAAATGGCTTTTTCTTAAAGTCTCATCTTTGTAACTTTATTTTCCTTGGAAGGCCGTCTTTTTAACAAGTGGTTTGAACCAAAAAGTCAAATAAACTATTCAGTTCGTTAATTCGAGTTTTTAATTTGAGTTAATATATGATTTTATGTGAGAGTTTTTTACTTTAACAGAAAATGTTAGATATAATTTTTTATGAGAGCTTTTAACTGTAATCAAATTAAAATTAAAAACTCAAATCGGTAAATAAATGAGGTCTAATATTTGGCAAATATTTTTGAGGTTTGGTTCAAACTACTTATTTGATGTTTTGAATTGAAAAAAAAAAAAAAAAAAAAACTCAAAGAATTATGAGTTTACACCCTATTGTTTCAATTTTACAAACTAAAAGTTCAAATCACATATTTCAAACCACAAAAGTTCAAACCATTCCATTTTGGACCTATTTATCGAACAAATTCTAAATTTTAGAGCGCGTTTACTTCCTATTTAATAATAGAAAGTGAATCAATTATCTCAATTCTATTTTTTGTTAGCGTTTATGCCCTTAGGAATAAATGTAACAATACTCTTTGAGACATTTTGATTATCAATAAGGATTTATTTATTTCATATATCTATGTATTGTCCTCTTTACATACATATTAGTTGAATGTATGATAAGTAAACTGAAAGTTTGAGATTGTCATTCTAAATCTTTAGATCGTGCATGTAATAAGAAGAACATGCGGAAGATAGGATCCTAAAGATGATAGTCTAAATAATATGATCTGCAATCGAGGGAATGAAGTTGGGCGCTTTATTCATGTTAAGATTGTTGTGTTGTCTACTTCCTAACGGAGACAGCTTGTCTTGGTCGTCAGAGGTGGCACTCCATGGGTAGAGACATTAATATAGTTCTTAGTGGTGAAATCTATATTGGATCGGACCAAAATTGAATTATTTTTATTAATAATTCCGTTTGAATAAAACAATTCACTTTTGACAAATTATATATGATCATCTTAATCCTGAGATTGATGATGAACCCATACGTTTGACTTGTATCTTTTGATGTACCAAAGGGAGACATCCTGACGTTATGTAAATGTACGCTTATCGGTACATTAGAGGTATGACTCTTGTGTCGTAGATTCATTATTCGTAGATAGTGGAATCCATAACTCCTATGAAAGAGTCAATGATTTCTTCTTATGCATTATCCGTGGATTGAAAAATATGAGCGCTCGACCATTAGGCTACTCTGTGTTATCTAATGCTTTACTATTTGTATGAATACCGAGGGGAGATTGAACGATGTATGCCCACTTGCACTCCAATCGTGAAAATGAGAATAGCAAAGAAGACTAGTTGGTTGAGGCTTTTTCGGTTGCTGTTTGGAACGCTTTGATCTTTCAAACGTGCGGTTTTCATCAATCTCTGAAGGTATGTTCTATATCTTTTGTATTTATGTTATATAGCATCATGAATGCGTTCTTATTTGGCTTTGACATTGATTAAAAAAAATTAAAATTTCACTGCGCGTTCGATGCCGTATTTTCCAACATTTTTCTCATTACATTCTTTTACGGTTTAATAAAAATTCTCATGCTTACTAATTACACATAAAATCAAGTTATTTACTAAGGTTTCAATTGAATAATGTTGTTTATTAAGATTGGAGCACATATTATAACAATATTTTATCGTAACAAAATTAATGAAATGCTTATGGTAAGATATACATTTTTATTCCATCCTCAAAAATTGTTGCCTTTAATTATTGAATTGGGTTTTTAACGGTTAAATATATGTATTTCGAATTAAAAATTTAGAGCACGTCATATAAAATTGCTCATATTTCAAATTAAACTGTTAAAAAACTAACTCATCAGCTAAATACAGTACTTACCAGTGAAACAAAAATGTATGTACTATATCTATAAATTTTACTAATTATAGACACCTTTTTTAATTATTGACAAATTAACCATGACATAAGGCCAATTTGATAATATTATAAATTTTTAAAGAAATTATTATTAACTGTACAAAAAAAATAATTATTATAAAAAATAATTAAATATTTAATAAACTGTAATTATATAAATATTAATTTTAAAAATGTTATAAATATTTTGAAAGTCTCTCGTAAATAACTAAATAATTAAGAGAACGTTTGGTTGGAGAATTTAAACCATGTGATTTGAATCATTTTTTATTTACATAAATTTTTTATGAGAAAAAATATTATAACGAATAACAAATTATAATTCGAATCAGAAAACGAATTCTTCTGCCAATCATCGACTTCAAAAATCACTGTAAAAACACACCTGTAGTATTATACAGCGTGGGTTCTTCTTTCCGCTTGAAATTTTGGACTCGAGAATCCCCTATTTGGTTCCCACCCAAAAAAAAATCTTCCACCAAAAGTTTTTCTTACCTCACCTGAACGTTAAAGTGAGAACAAACTACAAAAAAGTCAAAGAATAAACAGAAATCATAATTGGAGAGAGGATTATAGCCGATAAAAGCAAAGCAAAAGATCGTAAAAGTAGCCCCCTTGTAAAGCCAATAATTTTACGACACGTCATCACCTTTACAACATCTACACGTCCCTTGCCGGTCACATCTTTACTAACCGCATCACGATAGGACACACCTCACCAATAAAACGTCGCCACATCATCAAAAACTAATAAACGGGGCACCGTTCCAAGAGAACTACAACGATTACCGTGGACGCAACCGCAGGAGATTGATTTGTTCCCTTCCGCAGCCTTGTTTGTCCGTTATCTTATAGCTCCACGCCTTTTGCTTTCAAATCCTGTGCTTAGACGCTTATCTAAACATCAATTATCACTAATCCCAAAATTAGTTCTTTCTAATCAAACGCTTAATTATTTATCAGAAACAATAATATCAAGTTTCACTTACATTAAGCAAAGGTTCGGTTAATCTCCCATTTCTCCAAACTCCCTCACCGTTTACGTCAAATTTCCACCGAATTTAGATTTTCCCGGAAAATCTGAGCCGAATATTCAGAAGATCCGGCGAAAGAGTTCGGAGAATTCGTATCGGAACTTCGTCTTTTCTGCGGTTCGATTTCGATTGTCGGAGCTTGTTCCGGGTTCGGATTCTAGGGTTCCGATAATGGCGCAGGCGACGGGGAGAGGAGGGAGAGTTGTGGGAGATTACCTTGTGGGGCGGCAAATCGGGTCGGGTTCGTTCTCGGTGGTGTGGCACGCGAGGCACAGAGTCCATGGGACGGAAGTAGCCATCAAGGAAATCGCGACGGGTCGGCTCAACAAGAAGTTGCAGGAGAGTTTAATGTCGGAGATCTTCATCTTGAAGAAGATTAACCATCCCAATATCATTCGCTTGCACGATATTATAGAGGTTCGTCGTTTAGTTTTCGCTTTTAAATTTCTTTGTTATTTTTGCTCGAGAAAATTCGTGGAAGTTGAGGAGAGAATTTGAACTTGGTTGGAAGATTTTTGTTCTGTTAAATTGTTGTTTGAAGTTGCATAGTCAATATTTATTTTGCACTGAAGGAATGGATTTTCTCATGAGTAGATTTTTTTTTTTTTTTTTTTTGTGTGTGTGTGTGTGAAGAAATGTAGGAAATAAGGTAAAAAGATGAGAAATGCTACTAACGGGGTGTCAAACTTCACGACTATTTTAATTCTACGCTAATTTCTATATGTAGGAGAAGACTAACCTATAGAAAACTCGATTGTGTGAACTTAATGACTTTTCAACATTCAACTGCAAACTAGTTTCTCTATGTAGAAGAGTAACTTATAGAAAATTGGATTTTATGGATCTACATGACGGTTTCAACCCCAAATTACGGAGAATGCTACTTTCGGTGTAGAATAGGAGCCGAAAGGCCTCGTCTCTAGAACCCCGGCTTGCGAGGCGTTGCTCTTGCAGTAGGATTCCTATCGATATGCTGAATTCTGATGTATAGACCAATAGTTTGATATATTAAATTATGCATGTACAAAACGCATGTTACTTGTTGTCTTAACCTGCTGCAGTGTTGTAGCTGTGTATGTTGTACCAAGTCAAGCTCAGGAATTGTACGCTGAACAGCATTAATGCTCCTTGTTTGTGATTTAAGCCGTTTAGTCCTACTGGTGGCACCTAATATTTGTGAGATTCTGTCAGAATTAGTTATTTTATACGCTGAGATATTTTATTTTGGCGGAAAGGCGTGACAGTGTTATGGTACTTTAGTTTTGATCATTGGAGAAAGTCCTAGTTTAGGTTCTAACTAGGACTAGATAGGGGTTTAGAAGAGTTTTGTCTTACATTTACGTAATATAGGTTCCTGGCAAGATACATCTTGTGCTGGAATATTGCAAAGGTGGCGATCTTTCAATGTATATCCAACGCCATGGAAGAGTACCCGAAGCAACTGCAAAGCACTTTATGCAGCAGCTAGGTTTGTCTTCAACTTTGCTGTTTGCTTCATCACTTCTGTCCCGTTCTATTTCATTTTTGGCGTCATCAATCTGGTAATGTTAACTTATTTCATTGTTTACAGCTGCTGGACTGCAAATTCTTCGTGACAATAATCTTATTCACAGGGATCTAAAGCCGCAGGTTCGGTCCTCTCCTTTTGTATATGCATTTCTTTTTTATGCATCTTGCTATTGATGATACCTACCGAGTAGAAGTTTCACTGTGAAATGATGATCGTGTTGGGTATATTTTTCAACAAGGTTATTGAAGGCTGAGAATATGTAAAAAGGAGGACTTAACTATTGGTAGCAGCATTGCAGAAGGATGTTCTATATCAACTATTATAATTATTGCGGAGTGGTTTGTACCTTTCCATCTGTAACACCTATTATTTTTGGTACAGAATCTCCTGCTTTCTACTAATGATGATAATGCAGTTCTAAAGATTGCCGATTTCGGATTTGCCAGGTAAGTTCATCATCTTGTTGCCTTCTAATGTTTTTCATAGTAATTCTGTTAAATGTTAATACGTTCAGAAGACCACAGTAACGACATATCAGTTTTTAGAGGTATAATGTGAAATCTTCTCTTAAATCTTTGAGATCAAATTTTCTTGTATATATGTCTGGATATTTAACCTCTAAAGTTCATATTAATTAATAATTATTAACATGCCTAATTTATTTTAAGATCTTACACTTGCTAACTTTACTGAAGCCTACATGGGAATGGTTCCCATTAGGGTGTGTTTGGTTGGGGGAATAGAAAGGAATCAAGGTTCATTCTTATGTTTAGGGGGGTAAGGCTGCGTACATATGGGATTGAGCTTTCCCCCAAACCTGTCATAGTATGGGAGCCTCTTTGGCACTGGGGTCCGCCTTTTTTTTTATTAATATAATATACAATATAATCGTCATACTGTAATTAATAATAATTATTATAATATAATAAAATATATTTGTGACATTGTAATAAATAATTATAATAATAATTGGGATAGTAGTATTTTCTATAAAATTAAATATAATAACTGTATATTTTATGCATAATATTATTTTATTTTATTTTATTTTATAGAATATATATGTGATGTTTTCGTTAATAATATGATAGTTATAATAAAAATTAGGATTTTATTATTTTAAATATATAATATTGTAATTATAATCAGATACTATATTTTATAATATTATAATTAAGTATTTATATAATTACAATATAAATTTATATTATAATAGATAATAGATAATATACTATAATTAGAAATGATAATATACTATATTATATATTATAATTATAATATGTTATATTATATTATATTATTACATTTTTATAATTATACTATATTTCTAATAATATAATATAGTATAGTTGTAACATTATAATATAAAATAATCACAATATCATTTTTTTATTATATTATATATTATGATTGTATTATAATAATAAATATTATATAACTATAATTATAATTATATATATTATATCCTTCTAATTTTATATATATAATATTAGTTATTAAATGATTATATTAATATATATGATATTAGTTATATTAGCATGAAGGGTAATTTTGTCAAAATGAAAATATTCATATCTCATTTCATTGGGTTTGTAAAAGTAGAACCAAACAAATGAATCATCTTTCCTTTCCATTCTATTCCATTACCATTCCCATTACCATTTCCCCACTGCAACCAAACGCACCATTAGTTCCTTAATTTTGGTTTTCATGTCTTAAGCATTTAAGTTTCCTTTTGTTAGATCTTTGCAACCTCGAGGCCTTGCGGAGACCTTATGTGGTTCGCCACTTTACATGGCTCCAGAGATTATGCAACTTCAGAAATATGATGCAAAGGTGATAATTTCCGTCTTTATGTTTTTCTTTTATTTCTTTTTTTTTATTTTTTATTTGGTTTTGTTCTTGTTTTCTTGTTTTTGGGGGTGTGTGATAGGTACCCATCACAGCTTTTTCTTCTACTAACCTAGAAACTGAATACGCAGGCAGATCTCTGGAGTGTTGGTGCGATTTTATTTCAGCTTGTAACTGGAAAAACCCCATTCACCGGAAACAATCAAATACAGGTTTTGTATATACGTATTACTTTCTTGATTCTTTTTTACGGTCCTTTCTGTATTCTTTTTTTTTCTTCTTCTTCTTCTTCTTTTTGGTAATTATAAAGTGTTTCTACATGGTACGAATGCAAGCTTCTGTTGCACTGGTATTTTCAACCTGGATTGGATTGGTATCATTACATGTTTTACCATTTTATGATTCACTATACGTCATTTTTTTCCTCGTAATGTTGTGCAGTTGCTCCAGAACATCGTGAAATCAACTGAATTGAATTTCCCTACAGATAGCAATGATTTAAGTTCTGAATGCAAAGACTTGTGCCAAAAATTGTTGCGTCGTAATCCTGGTAGTTATACAATGTTACTTCAAATTGTTGGCTTATTCAGTCACAGATAGAATTTTTTTGTGCATGAATACATGTGACAATTAACCAACTGGATGTTAGTTAAACTTATATGGTTCTTTTTGGGGGAATACTCATTTCCGCATGTTGCCGGATGTATATCTAGCCTAGGTTTTTTGTGAAAACCAAGTCCAGTTTTGTCCAAGAAACTTCTTTAGATGTCCTGTCGTGATGTTTGCATGCATAATTGGGAGGGGCAATCTTCCTTAATGTTGTAAACTCCAAAATTGTACTGATTAGAAAAAAAAAAAAAAAAAACCCCCCCTCCAAAATTGTACTGAATAATCTTTCTAGCAGTTAGTTGTCAAAACTGAGAGTATTAAATACTTGATCTTGTTTATGCATACCACATGGGGCATGAGAATATTAATTTTGAGTTTGAAATATGACAGTTTGAATCCTTTTTCCACCTAATAGTGCACAGTTATTTCCCAGTCTACAAGTTCTAAATTCACAGTAATATGCTTTAGCATTTTTTGTTTGATCTAAAGAAAATACGCAGAAAATTTATGAGTTCTGTCCTGTCCCCCAGTGGATTTCACTAGGCTTGTATAAAGTCTCCATGTTTAGAACTTTATTATGAAGCTCTGGTTCTTTTGTACTTGCAGTGGAGCGCTTGACATTTGAAGAGTTCTTTAACCACCAGTTTTTATCTCAAAAGCAACCAGATGACTTGTTGAGGTAATCAAGGCTATTATGTCCAGTTTTTTTGATTCCATTGTCTGGCGTGTATAGCTTTTAAGGTGAGAACAATCTTTTATGTATGTTGGAGTAGGAGGCCAACGAGAATAGTGGAAGGATTTGCTTTGTCTGGATGCAGCCCTGCAAGGAAAACAGATGACAATTCTCAAGAGGATATTCTGCCGTTCTTTTTAGATGATGAGTCCAGTGGTCCAGAGGGGAGCCCATCTTATTTAAGGAGGTCCTCAATGAAGTCTACATATGGATTTTCTCTTGATGCAAAAGTTGATAGGCATGAAGCAATCCCTACCACGTCTGCGAGATATAAAGAAAGTTTTAGTCTTAGATCAGACATGCATAAATTATCAGATAGAAGCATAAATGATCCTCTAAAGCCCACGGTCCAAAAACCAGTGAATTCTCGCTCAAGAGGTGCCAAGAATTTATTCACCCACTTTTGTCGTCGCATTTGGTTTTTTAGGGCCTGTTTGTTTCATATACTCAAACTCAAATAATTGATTATGCTACAGTGTTTTCATCTCACAAAAAAAATCGAATTTCAAACGTCAAGAATCATGATTTGAATATACTTTCAAACGGGCCAGTTCTTGAAATATCATGATAAAGTGTTTTGTTTCTTTTTTTTTCCCCCACTGTTAATATCTTATTTGCATATGTCAGTTGTGGACTCCCTGGAATTGATTGATCAAGATTATGTACTTGTCTCCGGACCACCTATTGATGTGTCAACTTCCTCAGCTAGTGTTTCCAAGCCAAGCCATTTTCCATACAGATCAGAGAGCCCATCCAAAGTATCTCTAGCTACTATTTCAACAGCCCCCTTGCCAATCATTGGTGCAGCAAACAGTAATATTTGTTGCATGGGAAGCCCAGAAAGTCAGAGCTCTGGTCCAGGGACTTCACAAGGATCAACGGATGTAGGAGATGCTTTGGAACAGCCATCAACGAACTGCATGACACGGCTCAAGTCTCTGCAGAAGTGTGCGTCTGCTATTACAGAACTAGTGAATGAAAAGGTAAGCCACAGTATCCTTGTTGGTGCAACTGACCGATCTGTGCTTATCTAGTATTTCTTGAGCTTGAATGATGACCTGGATTTCTCAAGCTTGTATTGTCTAAGTCTTATGTGACTGTTGTCTAAATAGATTGAGGCTGGTAAGCAACTTGAAGCATTCTCAATTCAACTTGTGATTCTAGCAATTTGGAAGCAAGCATTGCATATATGCCACACGCAGGCTGCTTCAGCTATGGAAGGAAGTCCAAGCCAAGAGACTACGAGATTTAGGAGTGCCAGCAAGAAGCACGGTAGTCCTGAGGTGGGGGAATGCCTTAATGTTGTTAGCGCTCAAGTGCCCGAGGATGTTTCCTCTCAGATTGAGAGGGAATTTCTCAGGGAGGTTGAGCATGCTGAAGAACTTGCAAAGATTGTTGAGCCTGGTATGAATTCAACTTATTGTCATTGCCTTCTCTTGCTAATTTATTTACTTTTCTGCCTCTTTTTGTTAATACGTTCTGTTCAATAGTTGAAAGAAGCTTCTATATTGATGTAGGGAGATTTGCCTACAGGTGTTCATCTCATCCAATCAACCGGTCAAACTGACCGGTCCAATTCAATACAATCCATTTTCTACGGATAACTGACCTCAATTGGATTGGATGTGAATTCTTAAAAACTGACTTGGATTGGATTGGATTGGATGTTCATTTTACTTTCAAACCACCCAATCCAACCTCTATATAAACTATATGTATAAAAAATTATGAATACATGTGTATTTACATTATTGATAAAAAATTTAAAGTGTTTTTTTTCACACACTTTCACGCATCAAGTCAAAACTTCTTGGTAAAAACATAAACTTCTAAAAAAAAAAAAAAAACCATAAGGCCTCATTTTATTTTAAACTTATATTCTGTCATTTTTTTGCCGCCAACGCTCCTCCAATAGATTGAATAGGAAAAGAAAGGAAAAATAAAAGGAATAAATGTACTTATGCTCAAGCCCAAAACCGATTGGTCCATTCCAATCCAAACCGAACTCAATCGGATTGGATGATACACTAGTAATTCGATTGGCTTGGATGGAATTTCTAAACTGATTGGTCGATTCCAATCCAAACCGAACTCAATTGGATTGGATGATACACTAGTAATTTGATTGGCTTGGATGGAATTTCTAAAAACTGAACTTTTATTGGATTGGTTGTTATATGACTAAAATAGTTTGGATTGGATTGGATGAACACTTGCCTATAAGTAATCGTTTTTAATTTTACATTTTTTTATTGTCGTTTGTTTCTAGCTTATTAATTTAGTTTTGTATTGTTATTAGTTTGTCGTTTGTCGTAGTGGATATTTTATTATTGTTTTGTAAGCGGGCTATAAATAGCCACATTAGCTATTGTAATAGGAAGACTTGATTATTGAGATTTTGAATACTAGTATTGATTGTTTTCTCTCCATTTTGGGGGATTTCCCCTTGTGTTCCTTTAGGTAGATTTGAGATTTCATGTTCCGTCTCCCGTCCGGTTTAAGTAAAATCCTATTCTATCCATTTTTTTGCTTCATACATGTTAAGATTCTGCCTGTCTTTTGTTATGGTCACAGGAAATATAGAGATGCCAGATGCAATGGAGACAATATTTCAATCTGCACTTGCGTTTGGCAAGAATGCTGGCGTAAGTATTCCCTTTTCTTGCTTATTTGTTTTTAAAAGCCTTTTCTTTTCCTTTTCAGACATCCTGAACCGC